AGAGAGCGGAGGTGTGAACTGACAGAGTTGCAATCTAAGCTGGAGTTATGTGAAGTCTTCCAAATGTCCTGGGTCTGAGTGTACTACCACAGATAACATAAAATAAAAACTGTGCCTGTATTGGAGAGTGAGTAATACTCTCTGTATCTGTATCCTTTGTTGTTCTAAAAGTCTAAAGTGACCACTGCTCTTGCTTCACTTCTTACTGAAACTACTCCCAGACGGAAAGGGTTAAAGTTACTATGATATATTTGCAGCGCTTACTAACTCTGTCTCCTGTTTTAGTTTGGCAGCAATTCCAACAATAAAATCCAATAGCTCTAGTCAGGAAAAAAAACGAATTGCTCCTTTTGTCTGAAGTTCCACAAAGATTTTTCAAAAACGAGAAATTGTTTAAGCATTTAAAACTCAATGCAAAATTGGAAAATTTGCTATCAGAGACATAAAAGGATGGGAATGATAGCTAATTGAGATTATAATAAAATATAACAGCATTGGCCCTATTCGGGATGATTTTTCAGTCATTTGAAAAAATGTGATCGGGCTGAGTTTAAGCTTTATTGTGCCTCCTATAGTGTGTAGTATACAGGTGACAACAAGGAGGAGCCTCTCACGACCACCAGCCTAGCGGTAATCGTATGGTCGGATGAAAATCAAACATGTTTGAAATTCAGTCAGCCTTCATGAGGTGATCGAGAGCTTATCTTTCTGTTGAAGCAGAGCTACGAGCTAGTGCAACCACCTTTTACTTCTCTGACTTTACTTATGGATAAACGAGTCCAACTAGTGCCATCTCTCTGCAGGGGGCTTAGTCGGATGTGTGGCTTTTGGTTTTAAGGTTCGAGTAGTCGGATCGCATCAAGGCATTGGGCCATACAGTGGAAGAACAGATATCGTGAACCCCGCAGATTCGTCCTACAGTGTGAGCTGTAGCTAAGAGCAATAATTGGAAATATAACACTTGGTATGTCTGCCATAGAATGGCCGATTGCGCAGACCCCTCATACTCCTGGGTGGAGTGGGTAGCTTCTTTATCTCAAGCTTGGGTCCTCTACCACAGGCCTGGGAGTTTAAGAGTTCTTCGCAGAATCGTAGCAATTCCTTGAACCTCTGGACTGAGAGGTCTGATGTTTTTACAGGTATCTGTTGGAGTTACTTCTCTAGAGTAGTAGTTACTGCCCTCAATGGTCTGAAGACCACAGGCATTACAGTATATTTTTACACCTATACGTTTTTCTATTGTGTCTAACATGAAGATCCACTTGTTGCAGGTGAATAAGATGCTATTATTTGTGTTCTTTATTAATGCATGTAAGTATGAGGGGGCAGGCTAGAGATTTAAAATTGTTTATTTTTTTTCAAGAATAAAGTCATAAAATGACAAGAATAGTCGTAACTTTAAGAGAATAAAGTCGTAGCGTTAAAAATATAAAGTGCTAATATTACGAGAATAAATTTGTATTTTATGAAAACTCTTACAAAAAGGCATTTTCTTCCCTAAAAAAAGGAATGTCGAGGGTTATGTGAAGTTATACTTCGACATCGGTTTGACGAATGAGAAAATCTTTTAGCACACCAGCATCAAATTAAGCAGTATGTCAAAGTGGACAGGTTGCTGTTTGGTTGTGCTTAATACTCCGTCGTAGCATTTTAATCATTCTTATTTCAAATTTGTTGCTATAGAGTTGAATGTCAGAATGGGGGGACTTACTGTATCTGTGGATGAAGAGGCCTAATGTTTGTTTCACATGAACTTGTTCAAACATGTATGCAGAAGGCTAAAAAAAGCTATCTTCCCTTAGCTGTCTCATTTAATTACCAGCATGGTGTCAGTTGTATATGTTAGCCATCTTGACACTGATGTCATTACACTTTGCTTCACAGAGTACACTCTAGCGACTCAAACAGTCTTGTGGGACTGCTTTTGTAAATGTTCCCTAACTGACCCATCTCACCCAGGATATGTTTTAGAGCACGTAGACTCTGTTTCACAACGAAAAAATTCTCCTCAAGGCCCACAATTCCCCAGCTACAAATAGGGTGTACAAAACCCTAGGGACAGGCCACAGCTGCTGAATATAGGTCAGTGATAATATAAAAGCGTGACTCAGATTATCTTCAGCTTCCTCACAGGGTGGGTACGCTGTATTATGCAAAAATTTTATTCACAAAAATCCTTTCATCTGTATTGAGATATGAAGGTAATGCACAATCTAAGAGTACTTTTAGTTTTGTTGATTAAAAAAATAAAGAATTTGTGTTTGAGATCCATGAATATTTAATCTACATTAGAGCTATAGAGTAGCCTCAATGTTCTGGCATAGGCATGTTTATTCACCAGCAGCGATCGAAGGTTATTTTCTCTTTAAGATGGAACATTTCTACAGCAAATGTTCTGAACTGCATGGACAAAAGCAATCTGCACTCTGAAGCTGGACCCACTCCACTCCCACCTTGAAAAAAATATTTCAGTTACAGAGACAAAAGATGATGTTTTTATAGATGTACTGAAAGTACAATTATGCTCAACACAAGTGAAAGAAAAGGTGATCATCATCAAATATCAATTATTAAAAGCAAGCATTACATATAAAGCACTGTCTGTTCTGTATATGGCTGTAATTCTATAGCATTTGCTTCATTTTAGAAACTTTTCTGTTTTGCTGTCTAAAAATGTTAAACTAAGGTAATTTTGTACCTGACCTTCCAGCCTTTAGTTTCTGTAGTAATTGAGAGTAAAGATAGATTGAGAGTAAATATTCCTACCTCCAAACAACCAGCTGCAGGCTAAAACAAACCAATAAAACGGTGGATATAACTTAATAAACAGCTGTAACATTGTACCTCAAGATTTAAAAACACATTTTTGAAGACCACAGTATCCAGATTTTGGGCAGAGAGAACATATGCTTCAAGAATGCTTATGGGTCAAGAAACCTTTCCATTGTGAAAAGAGAGGCCATCACCAAGGGGGAATGTTGAGTTTTCACATTCCAAGCATTTACAATTCCTCCCGGCCAGTAGGTGGCATACCTGTGCTCGCCCACTCTCTATCAACCTTTAATTTAATTGTTAACCAGCCATCTGCCAGGTCTGCCAAATGCGGAAAAAAAAGCATTAGCTTACCTCAGCAGGTAATTAACAAACAGCTGCTCTGGTGTTGATAGGAAACTGAAAACACACCTGAATCAACTGTTACTGTTACTTAAAAGCTGTACTTAACGGAAATTATGTTTTGTATACATTGTGTATACAACATGACAAAAAAAATTGTGTTTTTTTACACACCTGAGTCAGCTAGAATAATTCTAGTATATGAAATAAGCACAGTAAATACAGTAGTTAAAATTACTAGTACTCAGTTGCTCTCACCCCTATCATTATTAAATGTGTTGAAACACTCATCCTATTGCATATTAAAACTTTCACCCCGCGACCCAAGACTATAAAATGAACCAACAGACTGCAATAATAATTTCTCTCCACATAACTCAGACCCTTTTGGAGAAGGGTGATACATATGTCAGGATGCTGTTTGTTATTGCAGTTCTGCCTTCAACAGTTTTACCTATTAACCAGCTAATAATCTAACCAACCAGGGTCTAGGCAGTTGGCTCTGCATGTGGAATCCATAGGTTTCTATTACATAAGACCAGACCCCTGCCCATCCAGTTGGGTCAGCACTAGGGATGGAACGGTTTATGAAAACCGTCCAAACCGTTCGGTTCGACTGTCTCGGTTCGGTTCGCGTGTGTTGCGTTCGGTTCATGC